TTGAAATCTACCGTCGTACATCAATAAGTTGGCTGTAGTTCTCCAGAAATCAACCTCAAACAATCTTATGGCTCACCAAATCGTATTTGTTGAGCAGACAAATAGTGAAATATCGATTGAATGTGATCAGTAAGTTTCCAGTAAAGTGTACAAAAGCTCCTGCAGCACTCAATATCAGACACCATCGAACGAAAAACTGATATTCTTCGTCCAAACCGAGTTCACGGTTTAGTCGTATGAAGCAGCACGTGCAAAGGGTTATCACGTCGGCAATGCCTAAATGAAACTAGCTTGACCTCCACATTCATTCTTCCTTTTACATTGGTGAAACAAACAAAAATCATTTGAAATTGCTTTTTTCTTTCTGATGGGCTGAACGATTTCTACATCTATTCCTTTACATCTACCGTATTGTAGATTTGAAGACGCACTCGAAGATGAAAACATGCTTCGAGATATCCTCCTCTGTGGCCCCTCACATAGTATATGTGGCGCTGTCAGGTCGGGAAGCGGCCTGGATAGGGCGTCATAAGGGCTCAAAGATTGTGTTGCCTGTATGCCACATCAAAAGCGGAGCAGCACTACAGAGTTCACACGGGGATACCCATATAGGAAGTTCAAAAACAATTTGTCATGACCCATGCCGATAGTGGAAAGCACCCTTGGATAATCTCGGCTCAATGTAGTCGGCGATGAAAATGATTCCTGGGATTTCTCTCTTGGATGAAGTTGTGACAGGCAAGGATAGTACAATAGACGCTGTCGGACCGAAACATTGCCTACTGAAGCGTAGCTAAAGCCCAGAGCCGGCTTAGCCGACGTTCACACCCAAGGCAGAAGAGTCTCAAGTGTTGTAGGGGCTCTAGAGGTTACAGCATCCATCTCGCAAGGCACCCGTTGCACGCACGTAGATTACTCTAGCCAACTGTAAGCAATGGCACATACACTTGAACATCTCGTCCACATACTGACTCATGTCCCATGCAGACTTTCTCGTTACAATCTCACCAATCCCTGAGTTAAGTACTTTTTTGAAGTCTTGTTTTCCTTTCGAAGACCGATTCCGCGTTTTCATCTTCACTTTCTGGACTATCCCTTTCATTACTCGTCTAAAATTAGTTACCATAAAATCATCGTGTGTAGCTTTGAGACCCAGAGACGAAGAAGAAGATGATTCGATTCATATGGCAATCTCCTGTGACCACAAATTTCGTTACTGAGAGGAGTGGGTGAGAGTTTTACCTGTTGCCACAAATAATGTGTAAAACGCATTTTTGAGTGTTTTCGCCTTGGAGCTGATGATAGTGAATAGTACACATATGTAGAATAAGACAAGTAGACCTTCGATTGCAGTATGAACTACATCGTGCGCCATCTTTCTCTGAGAATGAAATAAGATCTGAAACCGACCGAAAGCAACAAAGAAAAATAGCCACAAAATGCGGTTTTGACTCATTTGAGTCCGAGTATGTTCTCTCATTCATTTTTTTCGGAGCGCGACCTCTAAGTGCAGGGTCACAGGAAATTCTGGAACGTTACAAGCTCGCGCAACCCACACAAGTTCTGATACCGCTGTGTTAATTTGATATAGTAGTAGTATTGTTGTTAAGTTGTTGTGTTGAATAGTGTTGCTATGTTTCTCCTATTGCTATTTCGACCTCTGGACTCATCTTGCCTCATCATCGCAATGCCACTTGCTACGGTGCCGTTACTAATCTCACAATGTTACCGTTTTCTCATTGCCTTATAAGATGGTCTCACTAATGCGTTTTATGTTGTATTAAAGATAAAAGTTTAATTATCCATGTTCGAGGTTTAGGCGCAAGTCCCGCGTGACGCTTATATTCAAGGAATGGGAAAGGCCGTTTCACAGTCTATGCCGATGAAACTCGTTTATAGTAACAATGTGCAACTGAATTTATAAAAGTAGGTATGTGTACAGATACACGATATCGCATCGATAGAAACATTGCCTTGAAATATGGAGAAGGACTAGAGGTAGTTAGGCATGGGAGTGATGCTATACACCTCAGGAGGAAGTCAGACATTTCGCAGTAGTAGAATCGGCCAAGAAAGATGTTTTTTATAGGTCCGTGTGGTCTTGAAAAGCCAGTAAGTTTCCGAGTGGACACGTTTTGAAATAGAATTAACTAAAACGAACTCGAAAATGCTAAATGGACTAAACCTATAGACTTTATACCGAGAAGCAAAAAAAAAACTTTCCTTTTGAAGGCCCATTACAAAATATTATACTACCATGGCAAGCCTTAGACTACAGTCAGCAAAGAGGAAAGTCTGCGTGATTGGGTGGTATAGAAAGATTCAAGTGAAATGGAAACCGCAATAATATTTTCAGAAAGCACGTTAGAAGACGACAAACAGATTGTTTTCCAGCAGACAAATGAATATTGTTGTGAATTTAATTGAGTTTTTGTAGCAACACTGTACATTGTTGCTCAAGTTGTACCCCACTTTCTGTATTTCATTAAAGCATATCATTCCGAAAGTCAACAGAAGAAAATGTTGTTCGTCAAAATGAACTTGCAGTAGGAAGAAGTTTACCACAGGGTTTTGCAAGCACATAATAGGTTATGCATAATTATTGCGGATTTTTTCGCGGCTACTTTTCCCTCCGAAAAATTTCAATATCGAGTTCGGGATTTTTATAGTAATAATCTTCTCGTTTTCCTCAATAGAAATATGTCTAGAAGGGCGTCTTCTCACCGCCACATTGCTCTATTACTCTGACAAATGATGGAAGGTGGTACACTCGTTACGCTATCTCAACGAACTTTTTGGCGATGGAATTGTCAGCAAAAGCCAACTGAGGAATGGGATTCGCTCCTGAATCTCCATATTGACCCACAGAAACCCTATAAGTTTTCACGTCACACGTTAGTTGAAAGATTGGCTAGCGAACACGCCTTACGACGAAATGGATGACTTGGTGGCTGGTGTTAAGGTGAGGATCACCTCCAAGGCCCGAAACTTCTTTTTTTTCTTTCACGACATGCTACGCATTTTGTAGTGGAATCTAGCCATAGAAACAGCAGTGGGAACAGCCATAATATTCTGAGATAATCCGTACAAAATCGTCCGTTTTCTGTCAAAATATACGAACGGATACGGACGCTATGGAAGATACAAAGGAGATTTTATAGTTTACCTGTATCACCTGTCGTCCCATTGATCGTAGATTTCCTCGAGCGGGCACCAGTAAAGTCTCCATTCGTCCCTGTTACGAGCCAGAGTGGTCCAATGAATCGCTCCTGAGACACGAGGATTAACATTCCTTTCGTTCAGAGGTTTCGTGAAGAAGTCTGACCATCTCGTTGGCGGCCGTTTTCTGGAGTCCCGAGGGACCCAGTCAGTAACCGCCCTGGTCCAACGGTCATCACTATATCGCATAACGTGCCCGGCCCACCTGATCTTCGATTTCTTGGCGTAGCAACGGTATCCCTGATCTTCGTTTGGTGACGGAGCTCGGAACTCCGGATTCCTTTCTGCACTTGCGTGTATAGGGAAATCGCGAGCATCGTCCTTTCCAAAGCGCGTTGAGCACCGCTGACAGCATGCTCACCCTGCTTTCGTAGAGTCCAGGTCTCTGAGGCATACGTCAAAGCACGAAGAACAGCAGTATCGAAAACTGTGGTTCTTCCTGCTTTGACGTACGATTGTGTTTTATTCTATAGTTAACGAGGGTTTTTTCTGATAACAGATTCTTCTAAATTTTGTGAATTAATTTTTGCAGTTGCATGGCATGGATCAACAATACAATTTCCGATTGTTTATCAAAAGACTACTGTACCAGGAGGAAGTAGTCTACACAGGAGCAAAAACCCACGTAAAGCATATAATCTTGAGAACCGGTCGTTTTCGTAGGAAGTACGGATGCCTTTTGACAAAAAGAGCTGATAATTGAACTTTTCTAAGGTGCTTATCCGTTATGCGGGACCATCACGACCGAGTACACAAAGCACGCTTCCATAGTGCGGACAACCCTTATATCTCTGCTTGTAGATGTTCCTGTGAAAGGTACATATGCAGCAGATTGGAAAACCTACAAAAGAGCTTTCTCAGTGTCCTCCTATTCAGGGGGATTGAAGTATCTATCTGAATGTAACTGGCTCATTTTTCCGAATTTTCCTGATTAACATTCAGNCGATATTCAGGTATTGCTAGGCTTCATGTCTAACTTGAGGAGCAACATGTAGATCAGGTCGATAAATTGTATAGAAACTCAAAAAAAAAATTAAATATTAAATTTGGTTCAAAAGAAGTATTTTATTCCAAACATAACCTCTCTTGAAAATTACCGTTTCAATTCTCGTTCATATAAATGCCGCTGACGGTACGTTGCGGCAGGGGGTATGCGAGTGTCCGAACTGGGGATACCCGTATAAGCCGTCTGCCGGCTAAGATACGGAAGAGTGTGTGAGGAGCATGGGGAAAAAGACGGTAGAGAAGAAGTATGGCACACAGAAGACGATTGGTTCCACTGGACCAAGAAGCGGGAACTCGTGTGCTTAACGAATATCCTCGTATTTCATTTTTGTCTGTTCTTTAGATCTCATACATATTTTCTTCCCACTTTGCTTTTGCCGCTTTGTAGGGCTTGCTTTTCCCAGAACGTCTTATAGTGGGTTATGAGAGGACTCAAGTACACTTTTAGGAAATTAGGTGCAGCTACAGCATTCATGTAACATCAGCGTTGTGCTAGACAGAGAGAAACAAAATTTTCTGGCGACATGAAGCGTTTAGACCACCGTGATGGAAGTAGCAAAGGTATCGGAATAAGTAGAAACTTTCAATTTGTGAGGAATAGAGGGAATGACTCACGTATTCATTTTATTTACTAATTTTTTTGTACTCCACGCAGTGCGCCTTCATTAGCATTATGCATAGGCTGAAAGTAAGTGATAAGTTTGCATTCAGAAAGGGTTTTATTCACATCTGTACAACACACATTGGAAAGAGATCATCGCTTAGACTTGTTTTCATCACCGACGTTGATCGGAAGCAGAATCGTTTTGATGTTCCTTGTCGAATACGCTCTTTTTAAAAAATATCAGCTGAGGGCGCTTCTTTGGCTTTCGCAGTCGTGTTGGGCACTCACAATAGCGTAAATCATTCACTGAAAGCGTCGCACTGTTGAGACAAAAGAACTTTTTGGAACCCCGCACACTTCCTAAGAGCCTGGCCGGTAGGTCCTACCACTCTTTCCTTTTCGGCCTCGATGACCGGGCCGTCCAGTCGGCCCTGCCGCACCTTCTGGTCCTTCACGACCCGGTTCACCAACGGGTCCAATTCCACCAACATTGCCATCAAGACCCGGTCCTCCTTGTATTCCAACTTTGCCTTGTGAACCTTAACGAATTATTGGGAGTAATGCTGCCTGCAGGAAATTCAGGGTACTTACCTGGTGATCCTTTCTTACCAGGAGCTGGTACCCAAATAAAGGCGGGGAAACCAGATAAGCCTGGTGCACCTGTAGATCCCTTCATTCCTCAAAATAGAACTCATTAATTAGATTTTGACCTCAGCTGAAATCCCTATTAACAGTGTCGAACTATTGAGAAATCACCTCGAGGTCCGGGATATCCTCGCGGACCTGGCGGACTATGTCCTACAATTTGGAGGCCTGGCTCTCCATTTTCTCCTAGAAAAGGGTTAAATTTTTAGAGCGTCAATGAGAAAATATATTGTTCGAACCAATGGGTCCTTGAGGTCCAGGTGGCCCAGGTGGCCCTGAGGGGCCTGGTGGACCTGCGGGGCATAGCAAACAATCGTTTCCGGCGTAGTTTTCGGCATCCAATCCGTCACTACCTGGAGGTCCATCAGGAGCATCTTCTGCGAAGCAATGATCAAGAAGAGGACTAGGCTGTAGAGTATATGACTAGCTCACCTCCATCCAGACCATCTTCACCTGGCAATCCTATCGAGCCCATAGGGCACTCAGGATTCTGCACAAGTGCACACTGTTTCAGAGTCACTGATTTTCCTGAAAGTTCGTATCAAACAGCCAATCTCTCTGTACACTCTTTGTGTGTATCGTTTCCACAGCTCCAAATAAAGAGGATCATGAGCCGAAGAAATGAATTTGTTGCCGTGACCAAGTGCACTCAACCCTCTTGAAGATCACATAGGCTCCTTCTGTCAACCTATCATTATGACGTGAATACCTAAACGCTCAACCACGGACAGGACTCGAACACAGGACTGAGGTTTCCTGCTCTTTAAAACTGACAGAAGCTGTGAGCTCGTTATATCCGTTTTCTCCGTCAGAGGCCAGTCTAGGGTAAGTGAATGGTAATACAAAAGGTCAAAGCCAACTCACTCTCACTGTAGTAGCCTGTGTGTGATGCTTCGATCACCTTGATTTTGGATATCATATCACGCCAATGCTTCTTCCTGATTGCCTGGCCGTAAGCTCTTGGTAGAGGTGCTGGAATTCGATAAGGGAACTATCGTGATGTTTTGGTAACTCGTTTCCAAGATTGTAAATGTAAAGAGCACGGTTCTCACCTTCCATTTTGATAGTAACACGTCTTCCCCATCGCTTGTCAAAATACGGTTTCTCTGGCTTTACTTCCTCAAGCACACGCCATAGCTTGTGCTTGAGAGATACTGATTGCCTCAAACGTTCGACTTTGAATTTATGAGGACCTTCAAAATTAGATAGTTAAATACAGACTATGTCTCATAACTACTGTATAGCTGAAGGCTGAAGTTACGAGAGGCAAGGCAAAGGAAAATATCTATTCTGTGGTGGGTCGGAACCTGGGTGGTGCGCAGGGGAGGGAAGGAGAAAAAGGATGACGTTTCTGGCGTTCACCGGCCCTGGTTTGGATGAGGCCCTGCATTCGACTCCCATCACAATCGTAGTTGTAATTTGAACGCGTATGTTACATAAACAATTACTCTTGGGTAGAAAGACGATATGCAAGCCAGTGTTTCATCCACCCAGACGATTCAGGAACCAGTAAGCTGACCTTAAGAGGATACTCAAAGGGATAGAAAGCTTGGCTGTCTCAACCAAGAATCGCTCAGGGATTCAAACAATGCGTGTGTGGTAGTCCGCCTTTCGCTAGTGCACAATCTTCTCTTGGGAGAGTAAAGATCTCTATAAAATACATCCCTTCATCGCACGTCATGATGACGGCGAAACCTTATAGTTCTTAGCTGAATAATTAACATAATCAATGTAACAAAGGGTTATTCTTGAATTTTAGTTTAGGTAATAAGCTCAATGAACCCTTTCATTAGATTTACCAGTCGAGATTCAGCCTAATTTGCTGATACATTTGTGCAAATCCACATATAGATATCCAAGAACAAGCCAAAGTTCAGNATAGAATACATCCCACCACCGCACGTCATGATGACGGCGAAACCCTATATTTCTCAGCTTAATAATTAACATAATCGATGTAACAAAGGGTTATTCGTGAATCTTAGTTCAGGTAATAAACTCAATCAACCCTTTCATTAGATTTACCAGTCGAGATTCAGCCTAATTTGCTAATACATTTGTGCAAATCCACATATAGATATCCAAGAACAAGCCAAAGTTCAGCTTTGGCGATCGGTATATTAAGAATAAAGCGCACAGTTCGCCTCTAGAAGCGCATGGCCAAAGTGCCTTGCAATCTCCATGAAAATCTAAGGGACATACGTTTTGCTTTACGATGTACAAGAGGCTTGAAGATGTAGACAAGTGGAATATCACGTTTATGGGCTCTCGGACTCCTTTCAAAAGCCATAATATCGGTCCATAACGCATCAGTTGAAGCCTGAAAAGGAGCTAGAAACTATAACCGAAGGATTCGCAGATTAAGCTCATACTTCAGTATGTCATTCGATTATCGGGATTCGTTCAGACTAGGAAAGTCGGTATTATAGGAAACGGAACCATATGCAGTAAAATTAGAAAAGAGAGCCCCCATTCGGCTCACATGCCTGAAATCCTACCCACATTTATAGGATCAGGTTACCCTGCTTAGCTGCACTTCTTTGAACGCTCAGTATCGCTTTAGGAAGCCCACTGTATTCCTTTTCTAAAACTTAGACAAAGCAGGACATTAGCAACATCTTTTTACCTTAAACTCCTTCATATCTCTGAGAATTTCAGCTGTAAGATCATCAAGTTCTGCCTGAAGCAGTGGAACAGCTACAACGATTGCTATCAAAGCTAAGGCACTCATTGCTAGAGCAAATATGAATAACCATTGCAGTGTTTTTATATCCATCCTGAAAAGGCAGAATTTGATCAACTTCTATCTGCAGCAACATTTTGTTCAGAGCAGTAACCTGGGGCTGTTCGAAAATTTTCAGAAAATGTGAAAAGTTCATTGAAAATTAAACTACTCAAGGGAGATGAACGAGGGAAACAAACTCTTCGCTGCTTTCAATGGCCTGAACTTTCTACTTCACCATATTTTTCTGAAGTTTGTAGCTCTGTGTGCTCAGAACACTCCGTTTTTGAACAAAGGCAGAGATCATTCATGAATCGAAACCTATTCTACATACTAATGAACAAGAAGTTAGATGATATAACTCAACAAGTCAGCTGCTCCAGCGAAAAATACAGGTGAGGGAAGAGGAGGAGTGGCGGTTGACGGAGGCAGAAGTCAGGGATACAGTGGTCAGGGTGGGCTGGTATAGTGGCATATGTCCACAATTTTGCTCACTATCTCATGCATGCACCGACAATGGAACTCCGGGTCGGTGCCCGTTCAGGCCAACCTAGGCTTCCGCATTTCGTTATTCAGGGTTCACGTCATCACGGGTCGTTTATCGGTTTGGGACTTGTTTAGGAGGATAAAATGCTTGAACATTGACAGGTTATCACGAGCCATTGCAGTGTGTTGGCCACACATTCCAAGCGCCACTTCGATTATGAATGGAAGCCGAAAGCGGGGCTGATCCCTAAACTGGATTGACTAAAGGGGTCATCCTACATCCTTCTGTCCCATTTTTGAACTACAATAAGGTTTTTGTCAGTAGGTGATGAAAGTTTTCTCCTGACATCATTTAACTCAGAAATTACCATGAAATGAAATTAGGAGCGAGATAAAGAAGTAACGAATTGTACCTTCGAGAAAAACATAAAACTAGCCTACATGACTGCTTAATCATATGAGATGGATATAAATCTTAATTTACTAATATAAATTGGGTTATCCTTTACGTGATCGACACCGGCGTAAGCAGATTTTATCGATGATGCATTGACGTAATTAATAGACTTAGGCTTTTCATAAGAAAAACTTTCTAATAAATCTAATTGAGTTCCACTCTAACAAAACATTTGAATTGTTCCATTTTGGGAAACGGGTAGTTAAGGGGAGAACGATAATGTCGAAAGANTGATCGACACCGGCGTAAGCAGATTTTATCGATGATGCATTGACGTAATTAATAGACTTAGGCTTTTCATAAGAAAAACTTTCTAATAAATCTTTCCACTCTAACAAAACATTTGAATTGTTCCCTTTTGGGAAACAGGTAGTTAAGGGGAGAACGATAATGCCAAAAGAAAAAACAGTTTTTCATCGCTCCAGCCTTCACAGCAATACATGTTGAAAAGTGAGCAAAAAATTTTTTGGAACTCGCTGATTGATCTGCTCTATACCTTGAAAAGTATGAAGGATCTCCTACAAAGGGGATAAAGCCTTCGGGCGTTGATCAATCCCGTCTAAGGGATAAGCCCCGCACTCACAACCCGCAAACAACCCGAAGAACAATGAATTGGCTATAACAAGGCCGTTCCAAACAGCAGCTTCTCGATGGGGACGTCGACAACGCTCCATAATGCCCCATTGGCGTTATAAAGTTAATGAGGATAAAGTTTTAGGCGTTAATCAAACCCGTCTGAGGGGAGTACGAGAATGCGTTTGAATGCATATGTAGTCTATACAATGACATGCGGTGGCCAGCCAATGTTCGAGCCAATGCTTTTATCCTCCCAGACGAGTCTGGTACCAA